TACCTGCCGGACATGAAATTGAAAAAAATCCGGAAAATTTGCCACGTAGGTAAGGCACCCGCTGCCGTGGCCTAGGTTTCTCACTGAAAATCCTCGTCCCCGGCGGCACCTTTTTTTGAATTTTCTTCCTTTTCAACGCCGTTTTTCGGAGATTTCGGATTTTCTTTGAATTTTTTCGCAATAATATTCGGAAAATAGATAACTTTTAACACATTTTAATGCAATAAAAATTTTTGGTCGGAGTCCCCCTTTAAATATCCTTTTTCGACTAAATCTAGGATTTTAATTCTGTTCGACATAACGATATCGATTCTTGGTCCATATTTTTCTTTTTCAGAGATTATGAATTCTTTTATATGTTTTTTGATTTTCAGAAACATTTTCTTTAATTGGTGTCTATCTAAAAAGTGTATTGAGACTAGACTCCTACATAGACTTCAATTTTCAGACATAAATACAGCTGAAATAATTTCGAAAATTTTCAGGCTATCAGAACCTCAAACATCCAAAATCTGAATTTTTAAAATTCGATCTACAGTGGCGAGAAGTGGTGAGGAGATTTTTTTTTCGAACATTCATAACTCTGTTCAAATTCGCTCAATTGACTTGAAATTTTGCATGAATAGCTGTAAAATCCGAAAAAATAAAAATTGGTTTTTCGAAAACTTCTCATTTTCAGAAATTTCAGAGCAGTTTCAGATGTAACAGTGGTCCAAGAATCCAAAAAAAAACTTTTTTTTCAGAATTTTTTCTGGCTTTAATATTTAATGTCAAATGATTCACAGTGTCCAAATATGCACCAAAAACGTTTTGAAGAATTTTTGAAGTCGGGCTCTCGAGTTATGATGCTCAGTGCGCAAAAGGTATGTGTCGGCATTTTTGCCATAACTCAGCTGAAAATGTATTTTTGATGCTTAAAATTTCACAAATTATGTGTTTTGAGTTGTTTATCAGTTTTATTTTAAACGTTTTTTAATTGTAGAAAAAGTTTTTTTTTTCTCATTTTTAGATTTTAGAAGTTTTCCCTAGTGGTAAAAAAATGAAAATTTTTTTCTACAATTGAGAAACTTTTAACATAAAACTGATAAACAACTCAAAACACATAATTTACAAAATTTTGAGCCTCAAAAATACATTTTCAGATGAGTTATGGCAAAAATGCCGACACATATCTTATGTGCTCTGAGCATCATAACTCGAGCCCGACTTCAAAAATCCTTCAAAACGTTTTTGGTGCATGTTTGGACATTGTAAATCATTTGACATCTAACATCAAAACCAGAAAAAATTCTGAAAAAAAGTTTTTTTTTTGGATTCTTGGGCCACTGTTACATCTGAAACTGCTCTGAAAATTCTGAAAACGAGAAGTTTTCAAAAAACCGATTTTTATGTTTTTGGATTTTACAGCTATTCTCATGCGAAATTTCAAGTCAATTGAGCGAATTTGAACAGAGTTATGAATGTTCGAAAAAATTCTCCTCACCACTTCTCGCCACTGTAAAACATTTTCGTGCTGATTTGTCATTTTTGTCATTTCTTGATTTTCTTTTCTTTTTTGAAGAAGACAAAAAATAAGTCAAGCTTTGTTTATCCCTGAAAACCAGAAAAGTTCTGAATTTTTCTTTTTTTTTTCTTTTCCTTGATTCTATTTATCCATTATCCATTATCCCAAACGAAAAAAATCCAAAAATCCCAGAAGCTTTGCCCCCATTTTATTGAATTTATTCAGGCAAAACATGAACCATACAACTTCCTAAAAACTTTTCCTTTCTTCTTCTTCTGATTCAAGATATATAAAGGCAACGAATGGAGAAAACGTTCAGGAACCTTTTTTTGTGGCTTTTAGGATCCCAAACATGTATTTTTCTAGTTTTTTAATATTACGATAAGGACAAGAAGAAGGGCAAAATCTAATTTTTTTTAAATTTTTCTTTTAAGAAGAGCAAAACGTTCTACATGTTCCCCCTTCCTTCTTCTTTTCCATGTTCTCGATGACTTTATTCAAAATAAGCAGAAGACAACAGAAAAATGATTGATCGTCATTTTCCCTTCTTCATCTTCCCAAAACACCCCTTCTTCTTCTTCTTCTTCTTCTTCTTTTTCTTATTCTTCGTCTGGCTTTTCCTATTTTCCATACCCCCAAATGCTGTCCCATCTGCTCTTCCCCACTCGGAAGCCATCTTCTTCTTCTTCTTTCCCAATGGACCCCTCTATTTCTATTTTTCTCTGCGTCTCTGCACTCTATTCTCTCTAACGCCATCTGCCCGCGCGCGCGGCCAGAATAAAGTGTGGGAGAGTTGTAGAGAGTATTGAGAGTCAGGAGAATCCAGAACTTTCTCTCTCTCCTTTCCTTCTAAGCCACGCCCACTGTTTGCTCCCTCCCTGGCTTAGCCCGCCAGCCACCCCACACCATTTTTCTTCTCCTTCCAACAACTAACCCCTGCTACTTCTTCTTCTTCTCCATATTCGGCTACTTCTTATTCTGTACATCTGTTGGTCCACATGTCCGCACTCATTTCAAGCGGCTTTCAACGACTATATCAACCAAATCAAGCTAGATACGTTGATATGTTGTTTGAATGCCCCTTGAGATTTTGGAGTGTTCACTTTTTTTGAGATTTAGGAAAACACTTTCTGATTTTATAGAATCAGATTGTGCCAGGTGAATGCTCTGATTTATTGTTAGTATAATAATAACATATGGTCTTTGACATCATAAAAGTTGGTCACCTAAAAATAGCTCAAACGTTTAAGATGATTAAGACAATGTAAGGAAATTTTAGATTTTAGGATTCGATTGTTTTCAATATTCTGAATCTTGGGGTTATGGAAAAAGAGCTTCTGTTTTCAGAATTTCTCGAAGTTTGGAAGGATTTCAAATTTGCGGTTCTGATATTTTCAGATTCCTAAACTATTCAAGTATTTTCATAATCATGAAAGATCAGTCTACTGCGTATTCTACTCAATCTAAACTTCATTGTTCTGAAATCCGGACAGCTTCTGCCTATTTAGTCGTGGAATATCTTAAATTTCAGAATGTGAAAGCTGAGGATTTGACTTTCTGGAAATTCTCAAAGCAATCTTGTGAAATCTGGTTACATTTATTCCATGCTTTTCAAGTATCCGGTTTCCCGAAGATTCTATACTGTAGATTCTGAATCTCATATTCTTGAAATCAGGAACCTTTCCTTCTTCTTCATCTTCTTTTTCCCTTGCCCCCCTTTTCTGTCATGTGAGAAAAAGAAAGGGAAAAGGTCCGCTTTTTTTTTGCCTTTTTGTGCGAAAAAAATTTGAGCTCGAGGGAATTACTTCTCCTTTTTTTCTTCTTTTTTTCGAGGCTACAAAAATTCTTTCTTCGAGAAAAGAAGAAGAAGATGTATGTGCTCGTCGTTTTCTTCTTCTTTTTCTTCAACATCGATTGGGTTTTTGGGGGGAAAGAGAAAGAAGAAGGAGGCACTTTTCTTCTTCTTCTTGTTTCCAAAAGAAGAAGACGACGTGATTGGGCTCATTGAGCCGTCCATCTAGCCACTTGGAAAAAGAGGTCCCCTGTGCTAAGTGTACCTAATGAGGGTGTTATTCAGAAGACGAAGAAGAAGGTCTTATTTTCCTTCTGTCGTTTTGTTTTGAGACATCGAATAAATGGTATTATCGGGGATTTGAGAGCACCAGAAATGGCCTGATGGCTGTCATCAATTTGGGAGAAAAGGAAAAGAGAACATGTTAATTTTGGAACGAATGGAATACAAGAGATGAAATGGAGATAAGAAGAAGAATGATCGATGGATTTTGATATGGAGACCTCTAGATAAGCAATTCTGACACTCCGAGATCCATAGCTCGAGAAAATCCAGATTCACGATTGAATAGAGGTTCTGCAGAAGCTTGAAACCTTTCTGGTAGTAATTAGATTTTTGGATTCCAAAATTTTGAACATCGAATGTCAGATCTCCAAAAGTTCCCGACTCGTAAGATACATATTTTTGTAATTTTGGGCTTCCAAAACTCTAATTATTTATAAACTTTTTCAATATTTGAACCCGAAGTTAATTGCTTCGTACTTCCAATTTCAAAACCTTACCGTTTTTTTTTCTAAAACTAAGAAAATTTTTAAAACCAGGATAAAATCCGAAAAAGCAAAAACCTCAAGTGACATTCAAAACAACATATCAACTCGCGAATTTGGATTCGGTTGATATAGTCGTTGAAGGCCGCTTGAAATGGTGCTGCAGGATCTACAGTAATCCAGAATATCGGAAAGAGAATAGGGAGAAGAAGAAGGGAACCCGACCAAGTATGGGAGACATGAATGACTGAGAAAAGGAGGACTCGATGGGGAGGGAACAAATAAAAAAAGGGGTGGAGCTTAGAAAGGGGAGGGGTCGTCTTTCGCCCCAGCGGACATCTGCCACACCAATCGGACATCTGGAGAGACAGATGCACAGATAGAAATAGAGAGTCGGAATTCGAGGATCTAGAATTCTTAAATTCAGAAGATAATGACGAATTTGAATCAACGTTGATTTTAGAATTCCGAATCGCCAAACTCCAAATGTTATACGTTCAGAGTCTGAAAAACTCAATTATTCTTTAAAATCCTAAAATTTCTATGATAACAAGTTCGGATTTTTTTTCAAAAGCAGAAACTCAGGAATTCAATTTTTGGGCTTTTTTTTGACTCTGAGGTTCTTCCAAAAAAAATTTTTAGCTGTACGTTGATTGTTGGAATAGCTAGGTTTTGAATATCTCCTAAGATTAAGATATAGATTCAATAATTGCATCTTGAGTGAGATGTAGAATTAAAACATGGTCAAAATTCAGAAACTTCCAGTAACTAATTATTTCAGATGTTCTGTTTGTTTTATTCAAAAATTTCATTTTTTTAAGTTGCTATAGCTGAAATGAGAACTCGGATAGGGATCACAAGTTTTAGAATCCAAGATTCTGAAACTTTCTGAGCACCGGAATCTTAGTTCATAAAGGATTCTTGAATTAATTTCGAAATTCGGACCTTTTGATCTTCAATTTTTGAGTTTCCAATGTCGCGGACTATATTGAGTTTTTTAAAGAATTAAAATTCGAAATTTTTTTCAATGAAAAATTTTAGCAATATCTCTGAAATTCTTCCTTTTTTTCGAATCCATCTTCGTTTCATTTCATCCGTCCCATTAGACTGACTACATATATCCATTCCCAAATCCATCCCATTCCCATTTTCTTCTCCTTTTTCTGAGCTTTAGATCTCTCAAGAAAAAGCGAAAAAAGAGCTTGCGGGAAAAAGAATAAAAAATGAAGGGAAGGAAATGGGGGGGGGGGGGGGTGCTCGGTGCCAGTGCGTACCCGGCTGTCTCCAGAAGACGTCGGGATGTCTTTTGAAGCGAGAGTGAGAGACGCAGAGAAAAGTCACTGCTCAGAAGCACTTCCTGAAAAGGAAAATAGAGGTGGCAAGGTGGAGACTCAGGGAAAATCAGAGGGAGAGAGCATGGAAGCCGACCGTCTGTCTTGTGAATAAGAGAGGAGAAAAACGACAGGTGTCCCATTTACGATTTATGAACACACACACAGAAACAGGGGCAGACTGGCTGGTCATTGAATGACGAATTAAGTGTGTGTGTGTTCGTCTTTCACCACACCACCAACAGCTTGTCGTTTTCAAATTATGTGCCATAGACAGAAGTGAAAGAATAATGGGAAAAATCCGACAACAATCGGAATTATTAGTCTGATTCATTTTTAACGAACCCTCTTTCCCAGGTGCGTCAAACATATGTTATAATGTTATGGTAACATGATTGAGGATAATTGAGGTTTTGGATTTGGGTTTTTCGGATTTTCACGTGAAAGCTAGCTTTCATTAAAAACTGTGGATCTGGAATATGGAAACAAAAATAGCATGCTGGAAATTACGGATCTAGTATAAAATTCTGGTCCTTCAAAACAATTTTTAGGTCATGCCTCAATTTTTTCCAGGTCATGACCCATTTTTTTTTCTAGGTCATGACCCAATTTTTTCTAGGTCGTGACCCAATTTTTTCGAGGCCACGACCCATTTTTTTCCAGGTCATGGATCAATTTTTTTTCTAGGTCATGACCCATTGTTTTCTAGGTCGTGGCCCAATTTTTTCTAGGTCATGACCCAATTTTTTCTAGGTCGTGACCCAATTTTTTCGAGGCCACGACCCATTTTTTTTCCAGGTCATGGACCAATTTTTTTTCTAGGTCATGACCCATTTTTTTTCCAGGTCACGACTCAATTTTTTCTAGGTCATGACCCATTTTTTTCTAGGTCGTGACCCAATTTTTTCTAGGTCATGACCCAATTTTTTCTAGGTCGTGACCCAATTTTTTCGAGGCCACGACCCATTTTTTTCCAGGTCATGACCCAATTTTTTTTCAAGGTCATGACCCAATTTTTTTTCAAGGTCGTGACCCAATTTTTTCTAGGTCATGACCCAATTTTTTCTAGGTCGTGACCCATTTTTTTCTAGGTCGTGACCCAATTTTTTCTAGGTCACGACTCAATTTTTTCTAGGTCATGACCCATTTTTTTCCAGGTCATGACCAAATTTTTTTTCTAGGTCGTGACCCAATTTTTTCTAGGTCACGACTCAATTTTTTCTAGGTCATGACCCATTTTTTTCCAGGTCATGACCCAATTTTTTTTCTAGGTCGTGACCCAATTTTTTCGAGGCCACGACCCATTTTTTTCCAGGTCATGACCCAATTTTTTTTCAAGGTCATGACCCAATTTTTTTTCAAGGTCATGACCCAATTTTTTCTAGGTCGTGACCCATTTTTTTCTAGGTCGTGACCCAATTTTTTCTAGGTCACGACTCAATTTTTTCTAGGTCATGACCCATTTTTTTCCAGGTCATGACCAAATTTTTTTTCTAGGTCGTGACCCAATTTTTTCTAGGTCACGACTCAATTTTTTCTAGGTCATGACCCATTTTTTTCCAGGTCATGACCCAATTTTTTTTCTAGGTCGTGACCCAATTTTTTCTAGGTCATGACCCAATTTTTTCTAGGTCGTGACCCATTTTTTCCGAGGTCATGACAATAGTCACCCTAAGGTCATGACAATAGTCTTCATCCTAAAATTTTTGTTAGCCTTTCAAAAGTTTCAAGACAGGAAATAGTACTACCTTCTATTAGAGTGTTAGTCGGGGTTTTGGTTTGTATTATGCACTCCAGTATTTGAAATCAGCACATTCCGGATTTCTGAACGCCTTCGCCTCCAAGAGCCTAAAACCTTCTTTTCTGCTTTTTTTTTCTTGGCTACTGCAGTATTCGTCTCATAAATCTCCTGCGAGTTCTAGATTCTTTTCCGCACACCCATTAAATCTATAGCCTTCTTCGCCAATAGTATCCGGCGTTTTTCGAATCAACCAGATTCATTGCTCATTCTTAAATGGCTCAATTGAGCTCTCTCCCGATTGCCCATTTTCTTGGAAAGCTTCTCTCCGGTGAGGCGTGAAAAATGGAAGAATGAGGCGGAAAAAAGTGAAAGTGCAGTCCCATAAAAATGGATGGGAGCTGAAGAAAAAACGGAGAAAAACGATTACTAATGCACTGGAAAACGAAAAAATAGGAGAGGCTCAGAAAATACTTAAGGATCTTGTGGATATTCATGGGACCATTTGAAAATACATAAGATTTTTGGGGATGCGGTGTTGGTCAGAAAACTTCATAATGAGACTCGAAGATTCTAAACATTGAAAAATTCCAATTTCAGGATAATTGAACTTCGAAACTTCAAAGATACTAATCAGACATTTTGGTTATATCAATTCCTAGATTTTCAAATTCTGCAACATCAAAACACTCTAATTTATGCTAGATTTCATAACTCGATAAATCCCAAAATTGTCAGTTATGTAAGCCTCTAAGATATTCAGAATATTCGATGATTTATGTATACTTCTCTATCGTCTCCATGCTCTAAAGACTATTAGTAAATTTGAAAAGATATACTCTCTCTCACTCTCTCGTTCCATCAAAAATTTACATATATTATTCATAGCCTCCTCATTTAACCCCCTTCTCTGTTGCCACCCAAAGATTTCTTAGATTTGTGTATTTGGGGAAAAGAAAGAGAGGGCTCAGTTTACATAAATTTAGATACATTTGCGGAATACTGGGATTGGGGATCTTGTCGGAACGTTGGGACCGTCGGTCCCACCTTGGAACCTTTCTTCCCGGAAAGAGCACCCATTCACTTCGTCGCTGAGAAAGATACAATGTAAAGAGGAGTTTGATACCCGTTGTACCCCCGAATCATTTTCCTGGATAGAAATTCAGAATCCAAGAATCCGAAAACTATAAAATTGAAGTTTTAAAAAACTCGACATCCCAAGTCAGAAACCCCGATAGTTCCGACATGCAGAAATTTTGTTTCCAAATATTTTGGAAGATTACAGATTAAAAATAAAAACTAACTGGTTCAACTGACGAGCAGCATGTTGGATGCGATGGATGAAATCGTTGGCTCTCTTCTTCTCAGCTGCCACGTCTTCTGGAGATACTGATGAAGATGTTGAAGACGATGGGTCAGATGAAGTAACTGGTTTCATCTCGGTATTTTTGGTCTCGATTTGGCGGAGTCTGAAAACCATAAAAACTTCTCCTCAAAAACAATTTGCTCCAATTAATTTAGGTTCAAACTGCAAGTTGGAAACTAAAGTTGTAATATTTTTTGGGTGTCCAGACTGCTGACAGATACTATCATGACTCTCATTGCCTCACTTAGTTATGAAAAAAGTGACATTTTCGAAAACATAAGAAGCTTCTAGAATTATTCTGCTTCTGAATTCAGTTCTTTCAATACTAGAATTCTCACCTCTGAACGGCAGTTTGAACATCCATTTCTTCATCAATTCTTGGCGATAATCGACGAGATGGAGAATCCAAAATATCATTTGATAAAACCGAACGACGACGAGTTGAAAATGAATTTATTAGAGACGATTGGGAGCTGGATGATTTCCAAGTAGGTGGTTCGATGTCTCTGGAATTTTGAAATTAAAACAAAACAGTTTCTAGAGCTATAAAAATAAGAAAGTAACCCAAAAAGTATTGGGAAAACTACTAACATAAGATAAAAAACTTAACTACTCTCAACGCCTTTTTCAAACTCCGAACTTCAAAACTTAAATTCAAATTCGCGGTGTTTTTGGCTCTCAAATAGATGTTCAAGGTAGATATGTCTAATTCAATTTTCCGGATTTCAGATCCCAAATTAAATATTTTCAAAAAAAAAACAGACGTTATTTTCTGTTGTGGTGCCAAACCAGTGAAGTCTGCCAGGCTCATTCGTCTAACCTGGACATGAAGATTTTCTGGGTCAGATGGAGGATCCTAAAATTTAGACTCGAATTTTTGAATTTCCGAAAACTTGAAAAAATTCTAGTTTTTACCTGATCACAAATCGAATTGGAACGCCTCCAGAAATCCTCAATGTCCTTTCGATTCAAACTTGAATGCATTTTTGTTCGACTTCAGAAAGTAGAAGAAGACGTAGAAAAAGTGCAAATTGAAGGGATGAAGTAAGATGATACTTTTTGAAAAACGAAAAGTCTCTTTTTTCCTTTTTCTTCTTGAACTTTTCTTCTTGCGATATCTGCTGAAGTTTGATAGAAATAAGACACAAAGAAAACAATTGAATGAAGGAGAGACGAAAAGTTGAGAATCGAAGACAAGACAGGGGGAAATGAAACTTTTCAGAAGTTGTATAACCTGGATACTATTATTCTTGTGCAAAAAAATTGGAGTTGTGGCCGAATTTTCACACAAGTTAGTCCACCGTATTTCAAGGAGAATTTTCGAAAACACAGCCGGCAAACGAGTGCTACCGTAACCCTGCAATAAATATTTTCGCAAAATTTTTGTCTTAT